CCTTGCCATGGTAAACCTTATAAAATATGGGACTTGGAGCCAGCCAGTAGGTGGATAATACAAACTGTGTAACCTTCTCAGCTGAGGAGAAGGCAATCTCTTCTTAGAGTCACAAGCCAGTTTGGTGTAGTGGTTAAGTGTATGGACTCTAATCTGGGAGAACCGGGTTTGATTCCCCACTCCTCCACTTGCACCTGCTGATGTGACCTTGGGTCAGTCACAAGCTCTGGCACAGCTGTCCTTGAAAAAGAGCAGTTTGTGTCAGAGTTCTCTCAGCCCCACCCACCTCACAGGGTGTCTGTTGTGGGGAGGGGAAGGGAAAGGAGTTTGTAAGCCCCTCTGAGACACCTTTGGGTAGTGAAGGGCGGGGTATAAGTCCAATCTCTTCTTCTTCTTCTCTTGGTGTAGTGGTTAGGAGCACAGACTCTAATCTTGGAGATTCCCCACTCCTCCACATGCATCTGCTGGTGTGACCTTGGGTCGGTCACAAGTTCTCTCAGAGCTGTTCTCTCACAAGCAGTCCTCGGCTCTCTCAGCCCCGCTATCTCACAGGGTGTCTGTTGTGGGGAGGGGAAGGGAAAGGAGATTGTAAGCTGCTCCGAGACGCCTCCTCCTCCTCCTCCTCCTCCTCCTCCCTGGGTCTCCCAGATCCTAGACCACCTCTGTACCACACTTGCTGTTGTCTCCTGTAGACTGCAAACTCTTAATCCTCGCTGGACTCACAGTCCTGGGTTTAGGACTGGCTGGTGCTGATTCCCCAACACAGGGGTAATTAATTCAGACTGAGTGTCTAGAACTCAGTCACAGGGCTGGTGGGGGGGACCGAACCTGTAGAGGCTGTGGCTCAGTGGCAGAGGATCTGCTTTGCGTGCGGAAGGTCCCAGGTCCCCCCATCCAAGGACTAACCATGGCCGACCCCGATTAGCTTCCAACATCTGACGAGATCGGGCTGGCCTGGGACGTCCAGGTCACAGCAAAAGACATAACAGAGGTGGTATGCCATGGCCTGCCTCTGCGTAGCAGCCCTAGACTTCCTTGGTGGTCTCCCATCCAAATATTGGCCAAATGCTTAGCTTCCGAGATCTGATGAGACTGAGTTAGCCTGGGATATCCCGGTCAGGGCCGAGGAGCTGAAAAACGCAGCCGCTGATCAGTGCGCCACTCGGAAGCAAGCATTCAGCCTCTTGTTTGAATTTGCAATTTGCAGAACAACACCCTGCCTTCTCATGACCTCACTAGTCTGGCCTCCTCCAGAGAGCCGGACAGGCAATTAAAGAGTCAGCTTAGAGTACTCCGACAGATACGTTTGGGGGGTTTTGTGTGTGTTGTTGTTGTTTTTTAACCTGAGCGCTCACCATTGATTCTCATCACCGGAGAGTCTTTTCCGATTCAGGGAAACATGCCCGTCTCTGGGCCTGTGTTTCTCATGCTGTGAAATCACTATTATTACGGAGGCGAGAATTTGCTGTTAGGGACTCGAAACCGCCTGGAAGACAATGGGTGTGGCGGAAATATCCCCGGGGTTCCCGCCTGGGTAAGCGAGGGTTACGGATGTAAGGCAACTTCTAAATTGGCCTCGGGAATCCTGGCTTGTGTACGCGAACCCAGCATGTGGCCTATTAGAGTAGTTAGAGGATATGTCGGTTTGTATCTCTCTGTGATTCAAAGGGTACAAGTTCTGGCCTGAGGCGCAAACCATTGGCGATTCTGTCTCATCAGTGAATATTGTGAGTGTGTCTGTTGGCTGATGATGTGCTTCTTCCCTTTTGTTACTGACTTCGGAAGTGGGGCCGCGATGGTTATTCTCCAGTTTTGATAGCTGGGCGGAAGCCAGCTGTTTTAAAGGGGCAGACATTTTGGGTCAAAACTCCCCCCCCCAATGCAATTGTTTAGATGGTACAAGTATTTATCCTTTTATTTATTTATTTATTGCATTTATACCCCACCCTCCCCGCGAACGGGCGAACGGGCGGCTCACATAAGGCACTAAGTGCGTACAGTATACAAAATTACAAAATACAAAATTCAGAATTAAAACAGATTAAAATCAATTCTACAGATGCACATATAAACTCAGGGCTATTTTTGGGCAGGAACGCACAGGAACAGAGTTCCGGCTGGCTCCCAAGTTGGCCACGCCCAGCAGGAACTCATTAGCATAATAGGCCACACCCAACAGCAGAAACTCATTAGGATTGGCTACATTAGGGGTGTGTGATCTAACATGCAAAGGAGTCCCTGCTACAAAAAAGGCCCTGGGTTTTGACAACAAACAAGGTAAACAGAATAAGAAGCAAAAGGTGAGTGTGGCTGGATGACCACACTTCTGGTAACATGGGGGTGCGGCCTAATGGGATAATGGGCTGTGCTGTCAGGGGTGTGGCCTAATATGCTAATG